TTTCTCACTCCCTATGGTTCACATTTGCATATCAATTTACACATTATTTCAGAGGGGTTAATCCTTTCCTCTTCCCCTTAAGAGCCATTTATGAAATCCTGGCTAAGGGCCCACTCTTTACGGAAAATTCTGTTTGGCTTGTGCTTTCTATTCTTCTTCGTCCTCTCGCCATGTCTCAATTCAGTGTCATCTATGCAGGCCCAAAAAGCAATAGCTATGATTTTTTTTTTTTAAAGCACTTTGCTTATCAATCTTTATAACTATCAGATAGGTATTATTTGCTATTTATTTATTTATTTATTTATTTAATGAGATTCTTTTTTTTTTTTTTTTTTAAGATTTATTTATTTATTTATACAAGCACTGGGTACAGTCAGAAGCGCGGGAGGGTGAAAGAATTCGCCAGAGCCAGAGCGGGGAGCAGAGCAGGCAGAAGGACCGAAGTACACTGCTGAGGGGAGCAGCGGGCGGCAGGAGAGGTCTGCGCGCCATGTGGGACCCTCCTGCGGTGGCCGGGGAGCAGCCAGGCATGGAACTGGCGCTGCAGAGGCTGGGGCCAACTTCGCAACCCTGCACTCAACCGCTGCGCCACCGGGGAGGCCCTATTTGCTATTTTTTAAATAAGTAAATAGAGGCTCCAAATGGTTGCTATGTTAAGTTACAGAGCTTGTAAGGTCAAGGCTAGATTCAGATCCTGATTGACTGGCTCCCAAGCAGTGGTTCTCAGACATGGCTGCCCATTAGAATCAACTGGCAGCTTTAATTTTTTTTATTTTTTTGTTTTTTGTTTTTGTTTGTTTTCAGGAAACTTGATTTGCCTTGAGAGATAGCAGCAAGTAGTCCCGCCAAGAGACAGGAGCCTGTTTAAATGATCTGTGAAGGCGGTCAACTAAATGCTGATAGAATCCAATGTCTCATTCTGAGGAATGACTCTGGTCTCCAAGCCTGCAGGAGTCTAGACTGGTTTTGACATTGCCCCCCAGGAGCAGAGCAGCCAGTATCCCTTCCTCTCAAATATTTATCTGTGTTATTACTCGATATTATGGACAGTAAAATGAAAAAAAAAATAAATTAGCTGTTTCCGTCTTTCAACATTTTTTTTCTGTCTTGATAAAACCATAGTCCTTTTTTGGTCAATACATGAATGAAGATTCACGTAAATCATTAACCGGGAGGGTTTTTTTTCCCAACATTTTTGAGTGTGTTTTATTTTATTTTATTTTATTTTTTAATTTATTTATTTATTTATACAAGCACTGGGTAGAGTTAGAAGCGCGGGAGGGTGAGAGAATTCACCAGAGCCAGAGCGGGGAACAGAGCAGGCAGAAGGACCGAAGTACACTGCTGAGGGGAGCAGCGGGCGGCAGGAGAGGTCTGCGCGCCATGTGGGACCCTCCTCCGCTGGCCGGGGAGCTGCAGGGGCCGCGGGCAGCTTCGCAACCCGGTGCTCAACCACTGCGCCACCGGGGAGGCCCATTAACTGGGAGTTTTTGGTGTTCATCCATATTTTTTAATTGCATCAAATATCTAACTTTTTTTACCTTATCCAGATGTTATTTATTTATTTATTTATTTATTTATTTATTTATTTAAACCCCCCTGCTTGAGGTGCACCCACACCAATTAAATCAAAATTCCCAGGGCCAGTACCTATACTGAGTATTTTTTAACTCCCCAGGTAATTCCAAGTACAGTACGAGAACTGCCACTGGGAACCGATGTCCGAAGTCATAACCATTGTGTCCCACCTACAAAACAAAACCGCATGGGTCTGTCGATCCCCAAGGTTAGCACTAGAAGTTACCCCAAATATTTGCTTTATCTTTAGACAAGGAGGCGGAAACAGGGTTCTGTTTTTGTTGTTGTGCAGCTTAGCTACATGGCTGATGATTGCTCCCACCACCTCCTCTTCCCTTCCTCTAGCGCCCTCTTCAAGTGCATTCAGCATTGCTGGCATTGTGGGCTGCAAGCTCCTCCACTTGTGAAGGGGTCATTGTCTGACCACTGCTCTGGCTTTGGAGCCGCTGGGAGGAGAGCTCTTATTGGCCTGTGCTGGGCTGTCTCCTCCAGCTGGTGGCTGAGTGAGGGATGCTCTCAGACAAGCAGATGCTTTGCTGATCTGCCTGCAGGAGGGTGAAGGGCTGGGGAGAGAGCAGCCCTGCTGGAAGCCGCGCAGCTTCCAGAGCAGGCGGGGCCCTCCAGTCAGATGAATATACACAGCAGCCTTAGGTCTGACGCGTCACTCCAGCTAGCTACACTCATGGGGCTTGTCACAGTCAGGGTCCCCCACTCGAGGAGGTGAGCCCAGGGGGTGCCTTCTTGAAGGTGAGAAAGCTAACACAGCAAGGGCTTACCTCTAATGTCTCCTTGGCAGCCCGAGATCAAGAGTCAAGAGAGTTAGGCAGCACATAGGAAGGCTGGAAGCCAGTGTGGGGAATGGGGGAGTAAGGGAGGAGCAGACAGACACAGATTCAAATCCTGCTCATATCACTTAGCAGTCATGTGACTTAGAACAACTCTCTGAACCTCTTGAAACTTCAGTTTCCTCTTGACAAAATAGAGGTAGTTAAGCATCTTCTTAATGAGAGATTTGGGAGAATTCAATAAAATACATCTAAAGCACTTAGACAGTACCTAGTCAAGGGAATCAGTAGATGTTACCAATTAATTTTACACACAACAGTAGCCAAGCACTCGCTAAATATTCACTCTGAGGCTCCAAGGCTACTCTGATCATTCAAGGGAACGCTCATTACAAGATGAGAAAGAGTAAGGGACTGACTCCCCAGGCCTCATGACTGTGCAAAACAAAGGGTAATTCTTGGAGAGAGGCCAGGCTGAAAGAAGTGGGTCAGCTGGCCCCCCAAATGTGGTCCACTTGCAAGAAAGGATGGTTTAGACTGAGTCCCATTCACAAGGGAAGGAGCATTTGGGTCTCAGGTGCTTCTCACACATAATGCAATGTTTTCCCACAAGGGATCTTAAAGGTCATTATCTACAAAATCCTGATTTTACAATTGAGGGACAGACCCAGAGTTCGGGAGGCTCTGCAGACCAAAGCCTCACAGTATAAGCAGCTGTCTAGGAGGAGAACTTAGACTCTGAGCAGAGAGCCAACATTCTCCATGACGCCACACTCTCCCTTGTAAAATATGTGAAACACATTAGAATTGATAGTGCTAATCATTTGTTTCTTCCAGTCACTGGAAATATATCACCTATGTGCCAAGATAAAAAGCACAATCTAACTAGGTACTGGAAAAATTTAGAACCCAGGATTTCAAGGTCAGAGATCCTGCATGAGGATCTGCTCCTAACCAGCTGAGGAATAACTTGAGATTGTCTGTTCCTCAGGACAGAGGGTGGCACACTTTTTATGGAAAGGGCCAGCTGAGTATCTGTTGAGACATTCCAGGCTATCCAGTGTCTTCCGCAGTGACTCAACCCTCCTATTGCAGCGCCAAGGCAGCCATGAATGGCCTTGCATTCCAATAAATTATTGCATTCCAATAAAACCTACTTATGGACACTTGAATATCACATCATTTTCAAATATCATGCACTATTATTCCTTTTTTGGATTTTTTCCACCATTTCAAAAATTTGTAGACAGCGCAAAAACAAGTGGTAGACCTGGTTTGGTCCTTAAACTGTGGTTTGCCGACCTCTGAAGATGAACACGGTAATATCTGCTTCACTTACTTCTCCTTGAGATGTCTTACACCTAAGGTTATTAATTATATAGGAATTGGTGAAGTTCTGGTTTGACTATAGCTTAGGAAAAAATGATTTAGAGATTTTTCTTAAAGATATGTAATACAAACCATGATTTTAAGTTCTATGCATGTAATGCAACATAGATATTAAAAAATGAATATCATTATTGATTACTTTAAGAGAAATACAGCATCCTGGTCATAAGAAGAAATTACCTCAACATAATCACCAACTCATGTTGTTCAGAACATATGTCTATCTCTGAGAGTGAATTTTAAGGAGACGACTAACACATCTGGTGGTATTCCCTGGAGGGGAATCAAGCTGTTGAGAAGTAAACCCATGTTTTACTAAGAACAAAGAATTTGCAAAGAAGAAGGGATGTTTGAATGAGCAAGAAAAAATAGAGCAGAATTAAAGCCAATTGGGAAAAGTCAAAATGAGGTAAATATCAGCTGAATAGACAAAATAACATTGAGAGCTGGAACTGTCCAGCAGGGCAATAAAATATCTCACACCCAATGAGAATATTCAGAGTATTCCCATCACTGGGAATATTCAAGTGTAAGCTGAGTGGCTACTCATCAAGGACATTATATAGATACTACACTGCCTGGGAGACACTGTCAGCTAAATGACCTGGAAGGTTTCATTTCAGTTCTAAAATTCTAGGTGTCTATAAGAAAAGTGAGAGGATAGAGACCAGAGCACTTTCTTGTGCACTTGATGTGGAAGACAGTGGAAGCTACAGTGACCCTAAGTGAACTACTTAGGGTCTCTTCCCTATACTGAGGACAGTGGAAAGGCGCTCAGCCCTCCCAGCTCCTATTCAGACCAGCCTCACCAGTCGCCCACTGGGCTCTCATCCCAGAGTGAGGGCTTGCAGAGGTCTGTGCAGGTGGCCCACACAATACTGGCAGTAGGGCAAGCTGTCTCCTGAGCTCCTGCCTCAAGCGCAGCTTGATCTTGTGCTGGGGCCAGAGATTTCAGTAACCGCATTAGCAGTGCAAAGGTGGAATCGAAGAGATGTGTCAATTACAAAAACAGCTTGTTACTCAAAGGCAGATCAGAGGAAGAGGAGAGGGCGGAGAGACGCTTGGAAGGAATATGGTGTTCCCCCAGCCTAACCCCACACAGTGCCCAGGATCAAGCCTTTCCCAGCTCTGGGGCTGGAGCTGAGAGGGAGGTTCTATACCCTGCCCACCAGCACCTAGTGCTTAAGGAGCCATTTTCTCTGACATGAACAGACTTAGGGTTTTAAGTGAAAGAACTGAGTGTCTTACCCTTCTCGTTCATCATCCGTGTTGTAATACACCTGTGGGACAAAACAAAAGACTTGCTGTAGATCAGAGACAAGAAATGGAAATATATTTCATGATGCACAGACTTTCCTAAGGCATTACACGCATTACATTGTCTCTTAAAAAAGACAAAAAATAAATCTGTTTAACATGCTCTCTCTCCCTCTGCCTCTCTGTGTGTGCATGTGTGTGTGTTGTGTAAGGATGACAAATTTAACTTCCTGTTTTCCTCAGTTAATTCTTCCATTTTAATGAAATAAAATTGGAAATCTGATTATTCCTAGCTAAAATCAATCCGATCACATTACAATAGTCCTCAACCAAATCTTGCTTTTGACAGGCAGGAGGTATTTTAGCAGGAGATATTTAGAGACACTCATTGTTTTGAAAGGCTCTGGAGCAGGAGCTGTGACTAACTAATCCCATTCTCTAGGCACTGCTTTGGTAAGGAGAGGGAGGGCAGAAGGACCCACCGGCAGTGTGGCAGCAACCCCAGCCTCTATTTCCCAATGGTTCTGGTTACTTTGGCATCCATAACCACAGGAATTTAAGTCGGCCTGAAATGTCTTCAGGCTAGGAAAGATCTTCAGCTCTAGAAGGTCTTCCTGGCCAGAGAAAGACCTCTGAGGACAGACTTCTTTAGGTGGTCAGGATGATAGCAGGCAGAGTCAGAATTAAAGAAATTATAAGCTTATGTAATTGTAAGGAAAATCCAGAGAGGATCTGCTAGGTAGGTAGTCCTCTTGGCTCATTATTAACTGCTAAATAATATTAAATAATGGTGGGCTTTCATGAGCTTCTCTGTGTGCTTCAGGGTTATTTTCATTTGATTGAAAAACAATATTCAAGTTAGTACTAGACATTTGTATAGTAACTTCAAAAGTCACTTCTGGTTCTAGTAAATATCATCACTGTCCTTGCTCCCGTCACCTGGGAGAGAAACACTTGTGTCTAAACCAACACTCCACACACTTTCTCAAAAACTCTTGGCCTTTCTGGGGTGTTGCCAGGCCCAGACTTAGTTATACAACAACTCTGGTTACCTGGAACTCTTAGGAAATGAGTCATTCTACTCATTAGCTCGGATCTCCATGGCGAACTTTTTCTCGTTAAATTCTTTTCTGTCTATTGTTGTATTGTTCACGTGGTTTCTTGAACGATGAAGGTAAGGCGTTTCCTCCTTCACACCCCACTGCATATTGGAGCATCTGTCCCTGTGATGTACTAGAAATGGGGGTGTCCATTTAGACGCACACAGTGACCCATCTAAGTGAGGGAGCCTGGACCACACGACTGCAATTTTTGGGAAGAGTTCCTGAAGATGGTCTGGGGGTTGTTGGCCTCCTTAAAAGTAACAAAATGCATCTGCCCTGCCTGACGACATGGCAGGGTAATGGGCAGTTCTCCGCCAAGCTGGTAGATGAGCCAAAGATGGACTCAGCTTCCTTGAAGTGTCCTCCTACCCTCCTGCCTGGCCTGCACTGGTCCCATCACTGGCCTTGCTCTGTCACTTCTCTTGCTCTCACCTAATGACTCACTCTCCCCTCCTTATAGACTGTAGGGTTTCCTGAATGGATTTAATTTTCAGAGAGTGTTTCTCAAGCTTTAGCATGTGTAACAAATAAACGGAGACCTTCTCATAGATGCAAATGCCTAGGACCTGCTTCAGAGGTTTTAATTGGAAAGACCTAGAATAAAATTTGGGAGCCTGACTCTGACCAGGAACTCTGTGATTTGGGAGATGATTGCTTACAGACCACCACTGGGGAGACTGTTCTTGAGGCCTGAGGGAGGAGCAGCACCCCCATGGGGTTCAGGTGCCTTGAAGAAGGCTGCTATCTGCCAAATACACATTGTCCAAAATGATGATGTGTCTGCAGCCCACAATGTCTCCTGGCTTCCCTTCCTCATGTGTTTTTTATTTTTAAGATTTATTTATTTATTTATTTATTTATTTATTTATACAAGCACTGGGTATAGTCAGAAGGGCGGGAGGGTGAGAGAATTCACCAGAGCCAGAGCGGGGAGCAGAGCAGGCAGAAGGACCGAAGGACACTGGTGAGGGGAGCAGCGGGTGGCAGGAGAGGTCTGCGCGCCATGCGGCACTCTCCTCCGGTGGCCAGGGAGCAGCTGGGGATCGAACCGGCACTGCAGAGGCTGAGGGCAGCTTCACAACCCAGCGCTCAACCGCTGCACCACTGGGGAGGCCTCTCATGTGTTTTTAAAGGGCTTCCAGACAAAAGCCATGGTGACTCTCAAGCTGTAAGGTGAGGAGGGGGAGACAGAAGATCTCTGTAGCACCTGCATATAGGACTCATTCCCTCATAGCTGTTTCTTAAAGCTGCCTGATGAATATTCCAGTCCATATGTGAGCCAGTGAGATTAAGGGTGAAAGAAACACTCATGAGTTGACAGTGAAAATCCCCCCTGCCCAGACTGTGTCCTTGAGCCACAAACCATTCCATACCACAGCTGATGTGCTTGGCGACTCGAGTGCCCACTGACTGTGAGAACTAGAGGGTGCCAGCTGTGCAACTGTGCAGAGCTCGACGTGGCTGATTCTAGCAAGGCAGTGGGTACTAATTCACACCCCTGTGTGCCTTCCTTTCCTTCCCTTCCCCTCACCCCCCACTAACAGTGAAACTGGCCCATCTTTTTATCTGCCACTGCTGGCTCTTGTTTTGCCTGTCAGAGTTGGCCAACTCTTGCCCCTGCCCATTTCTCATGTCATGGTACTGCCTGCATCTGGTCCTATTTCCCAGGGTTCTAGCTCTCCTCAGAAAAGGCAGTCTTTAAAGTCCAAGCCAGCCCCTGTAGGTGCTCCTCCCCTTTGGTCATGCAAGTTAATCAACCATAGACTAATTGCTGCAGGGCACAGGTGAGTGTGTTGCCTGGAGCTTGGGGAGGCTCCCCCATGACCCCTTGACTCTGACTCCAAGGTTATAAGGGCAACCTGAGGGCTCACAAGGGCAGCCCCCAAAAAGCAGGACTTAGCTTTACTGATGGCCAGAGGGACCCTGATTGGGCTGCTTTACAACTTCTGAAACCAACAAATTTCCCTCCTAATTCAGCCACAGGGTAGGAGCCCAGGTCAGTAGACCAAGAGGGCAAGAGAGGCCAGAACACTGACAGTCATGAGCAGCCAGGTTGGGTCACTTTTACCCTTAAGATTATTTACAGCTTTGTATATTTCAGAGAAATCTTGCCAAGAGAACAGGTCAGGCTGTCAGCTTTGACACAGAGCTGAAGCCAAGAATCAAGCCAGTAAACAATAAGAACTATTTAACTCAATTATTCCCTCTTTTCACAAGTGCTCCCTAAAATCCCATGGGGATTTCTTGGGAATTGAAAAATAAAGTGGGTGTTGGCACTCATCTCTCAATAAATATATAACATTCCTCCTTTTGTTCCCAGCAATCAAGGGAAACAAGATGGGGATATTAAATTGGTTTTTGGTGGCATGAACTCTAAGGAAAATTTAGGGTTATTTTGTTATCTCATCTCATGAACAGCAAACCAAAAGTCTTAGATGTATAACTGCTCTGTCTCATACATAATAGAAATAATACCAGGGGACAAACTATTCCCAAGAAAGAGAGAGTGAAGCCAATAATACTATCTCTTTCTAGGTTAAGGTCAATCCCAATGAATGTGTGCACATTTACAATAGAAGAAAAACTTCAGTGTGTCAATATTTCTTCAAACGGACCTTCCCTCAGAGGACTTGGGGCTTAAAAGAAAACCAATCAATGCAAGATCTACTAAAACCCAGCTGGTTTAGTAAAAGACAATAATGGCTAGTGGTGGGGAAGTAATTATTTTTTTCTTTCTTTCATGTCACTTTATCACATGAAAGAAATAATAGAGAAGATATTACAAAAAGAAAAATCATCCATCAATCATAACCCTACTCATTGAGTGTTAACATTTTTCTTGTTCCCATCAAGTTCAGGTATATGTTTATATTTGGAATCACAGTATAGAACAAATGATATTCTACTTTCTTTTACCACTAAACACTATCATGTTATCATAACTAGCTGTTATGCTGATATATAGTTTCCATAATTGTAATTTGAGTGGACACATAATATTCCATCCTCTTGAGCTAGCACAGTGAGTTAATTTTTGGATATTTATATTATTTTAATATTAGCTATTTCACTCAGATATACCTAGAAGACAAAAAAAAATTATAAAACTTGCCTACAGTCTCACTTGCCTTTTGGTGTAGGAGAATTTACCTATTCAATGAGAAATGTTGATTTACTAGGGGAAAAAGTTTTGATAGATTTTTATTTTATCAAAATATTTTTTATCTTGCAACTTTATGAAGTTTCAGGTGCAGTTCAATTTCACACCGTTAGATGGAGCTCTATTGCACCAGGCTAATGCCTCATGACAAAACAAAAAACTTTTTTTTTTTTTTTTTATAGAGGCATGTTATTTATTTATTTGTTTGTTTGTTTGTTTTTTTTTTGTTTATACATGCACTGGGTACAGTCAGAAGCACAGGAGGGTGAGAGAATTCACCAGAGCCAGAGCGGGGAGCAGAGCAGGCAGAAGGACCGAAGGACACTGCTGAGGGGAGCAGCGGGCGGCAGGAGAGGTCTGCGCGCCATGTGGGACCCTCCTCCGGTGGCCGGGGAGCAGCCGGGGATCGAACTGGCGCTGCAGAGGCCGGTTAGCTTCGCAACCCAGCGCTCAACCGCTGCGCCACCGGGGAGGCCCAAAACAAAAAACTTTTTATGCAGGTTATCAGCCTTCTTACTTTCTTCCTCTTTCATTGCTTTGTCAACACTTCACTAATATCAGCTCCCTCTCTTTTTCTTCTCAGTAAGTCAGTTTCCTCTCCTGAGACATTCCTTTCTGTAAAAATCCATTCTCTATAGGGAATGCCTGGAACGTGGGTTTTATTTTAAGATCAACACTGCCTGAAGTGATTCTATATTAAGGCTCCACCGGTCCCTCAGGTGGATGTTAGCAGGTAGGTCATACCTGTCCTGTCCTTTGCAGGTTTGCAAAGTGAACATCGGGTATGAAGAGGACCGGCTGTGAGTGTAGATCAGGCATGGTTTTGAAGTAGGTGATGTCACTCTTCTTCTGTAAAGGTATTGCCGCCAACTTCCCATCAGATGCTGGACATGAACACAAAACCAAAAAGAAGGTTATGCATGACTAAGAACTCTCAAAGCTAAGACTTACTCCTAGCTAAAGTTCATGATTTTCCCTTTTGAAGCTTTCTTTTTTTTTTTTTAAGATTTATTTATTTATACATGCAAGAGCTAGGGTATAGGCCAGAGGTGGGGGGTGGTGATAGATTCACGAGAGACAGAGTGAGGAGCAGAACAGGCAGACAGACTGAAATACATAGCAGAGGGGAGCAGCAGGTGAGTCAGGAGAGGTCTGCTGCACCATGTGGGTAGCTCCCTGGTGGGGGATTGAACTTGTGCTGCAGTGGCTGCAGACTGCTTCATAGTGCTGACACTTAACCCCTTGTGCCACCAGGGAGACCCTCTTTTGAAGCTTTCTAAATGCCATACATACAAACATAAAGTATAGACACAGACACACACACACACACACACACACACACACCCCAGGAAGAACATAGACTCCTAGTGAGCATGCTGAGGTAGCAGTCCAGCCACCTCAACCCTTGTGTCTCTCTCTACTCCCCAGAGTCCCTGTCTGGAGAAGGAAGATGTTGACACCCAGATCACAAAGTCCCAACTGACTCAAACAATCACAATCACATGATTCTATTTGATTTTGCAGGGACACTTCACCCAGTCTCCAGTGTGAGGGAAAGGCAAGCCATCCCCTGGCGCTGATACAGTTTTACCTGGTACCCACTTTTCCCCAGCAGTTTCTCCAGGGAACCTGGCCCGCTAGAGCCCACCCCTTCCCAGCAGTACTCACAGTTGTTGCACTGGGTTTGGGAGGCCTGGCCTTTGCCTTTCTTCCTGTTCTGCTTCCTCTCTTCATCTCGGATCTTTCTTTCTGCTCCCTATCAGGGAAAAGCAAACACAGTGCCTGCATGTTATCAACGCACATAAAAATACTGTCTGCACATAATTCAGGGGGACAAGAAACCAAACAGGGAGGAGTAGCGCAGTCGGCAGTCAGCTTCATTTCCAGCCTTCCCAAGGGCTGGGCTCTCGGCTTCTGAATACAGAGACCTCTCAGTAGTCTACGCTACATTTCTGACCTCTGAGTGATCCCACTTCTCTTAGATTTCCCCCTCTATTTGTACCTCGCCTATGTAAAGAACTCCAATTTTGAATCCACAGAGAAAGAACAGAACCAGTTCCCTATCCTTATGAGGACGTCAAGTGACTTTAGTGATTATAGTAAAATGTTAGTAGAAGAAACATTCCTAGTCACAGAGAGAATTAAAGTTGAATGTTAATTCCCTATAAAGCTTTTCCTTTGTTCATTGTTATGGAACTTTTGAAAATCGTTGCAGTGATGGAAATAGGATGCAGGAATACAGGAAGTACCCCTTTGTGATTCCTATGTCACTCCTGGGCAAAGGGTGACTTTGTACATACAAGTATGATGTTTGTGTTATTGTAATATTTTTGTATGCTCCTAGAAATGGTCTCATTCAACAAAATAGAAAAAAATTAGGTATATTTATTTCTTTTTTGGTCCTCTGCTCTCTTTTCATTGGCTTCTTTTGCAAATCCCATCCTGCTTAGCTAACTGACCATCACCTATCTCTTCCCTTCCTTGGCCTTTGGTGATTCTCTGATTATCTTTTCTCTCCTTGGTCCCTCCTCCCAAAATGCAGATGTTCTAGCAAAATCGTCTTTTTCATCTTGCTACAGAAGAATTCATATTTCCATGAGGCTGTGGGAAGATGATATCCAGATATATACCCCAAGCTAAACCCCTTCCCTAACTTTCAGATTAAATGCAGATTTACAGTTCCTGACTTTTATGACAGCATATTTAAGGAACCGTAAAGCATGATCTAACAGCCACCTCTAACACTTTACAAACTGTCCCCAGGTCATCACACACAGAGCTAATTTGACAATATAAAAATTAAAATCTTCTGTTATGCAAAAACAAATCTATTAAAAGGCAAATGACATATTGGTAAAAATACTTGCAATGGAATATCACACAAAATATTAAATCCTTCATATATAAATGACAATTCAAAATTTTTAAAAAGTTAATATATCAATGCTATGTTAGAAAAATGGCTAAGAGTCATGAAATAGACAATTCACAGAATGTTCTGAATTAAAACTATGAGATATGCTTTATTTATTATAGTGGTTTGTTGGTTTTTTAGAAATAAAACTAGACTGAATCCTGGCCAAGGTAGATCACAACATAATGGGGATTTATGGTGAATGAAGACATCATAAAGGAGATGACTTTCGAGCTAGTTCTAAGCTTTAGAGCTAATTCTTGAAGGAATAATTATAGCTATTACTTTCCTGGCACTGACTCTGTGCCAAGTAAGTACTAAAAGCTTGATATAAATTGGACTGGACAGTTATAACATTTAACCAGAAATTTTAAATGTTCATTTTTATGTCAAAAAAAATTTGTCATACCAAAAAGGGTAATTATTTTTATAATGCTTCACTTTGAAGTTTTTGACTGTCATTGACACCATGGAAATTCATAGCAAGAGGGAGATAAAATTAACATTTTCTTTGGAAGTCTCTTTAAGATATACTATGGGTTTATAGATTTTTGTGTCTAGGTAACAGTATTTTCAGAAACTAAAATGTTAAATGCACAGATATCATCTTATTCAATGGGTGTGACATATAAGAAAAGGTTCCCATTATTTATTTTTGGTTGGATCCATATAAGACATTTTACTCTGTATTGGTAGCTCTGTAAATATTGCTTTTAATACAGAGAGAAATTTGAAACCTTATCTACTGACAAAAAAATATAACTTCCCCAAGACAGATGCCAAGGTCAAGCAATTTTATTTCTAAATTAGTATTTTATTTTGTACTATTTCTGTTGGAATTCTTTTGGTTTCATTTTATTTCTGTTGAAAGTGTTGGTTTCAAGATTTATATATGTTCATGTCAGTTTTTAGGCAATAAAGTCACCTGCTTATTATATTACAGGCATTCTTTGATATACCAAATCGAAAGTATTAAGCTAAAATATGAAGTAACTCTCCACAGAATCTAGTTTTGGTGTCACATCTAGCGAAGAAATTTCCTGCCCAGAATGCCCAGATATCATCATGATAAACAATTCTGAGAGTATCCTAACACTCTTCAGAGAACCACAGTTTTCATTTCTAAAATTAATCTTTGACTTCACAATGACCCAGGGAAGATTTGATACATTACATTCAGATGGAGAAAGCTTCCTTGAGCATAACCTTCCAGGAATTCCTTTCCTTCCTTTGATCACTTATGACTTGAAATTTCTAGAACATATTTCTTCCATTCTTGTAAAGTGTAAGAGTCTAGCTCTTCCACAAGAGTGTAATTCACATTATTTGGTACAAATGCCAAATTTATCATTTGATAATAATTTCCCCCACCTAAATGTTCACTACGGAGTGTTAAATTTGAAAAATATGCCTAGAGATTTCCTGATTATATTGTGATCACTTTTTTCACCTCGAGTAGTAATGGCTATCTTTGTTTTTTATTTGACATAAATTTTCTCTTAAATATATTTAGGGAAATATATTTCTCTTAAATATATTTATGGCTTTAACCTATTTATAGTTGGTGAAGGTACCAACGAGGTGACTTCGAGGGGTATCTTAGTTTTTCATAATCTTCGACACTATTATCTCCAAGATTATTCCAAACAAGCATTAATAAAGAGAAAATACATATATTTTAAAAAAGAATGTGGTTTTATTTCTCAAGGTTTACCTAGTAATAATTTATAGCAATACAATTCTTATTTTTCATAAAAGATAATGGATTATTTAAATATGGATATAAAAGTACAATTAATGAATATTGAAAACCTACATCTCCACTTGAATGCATGTTGACTAATGAAGGTATTTTATAGGTGTGCGATCTACTCCAAAAAGCTCTAATGAGCTCCTTTTAGCCCCAAAGGTTACATTGATGTGTTCTGGGACAGAATCTATATCTCCAGTAAAAACTACTAATCTATCTATTATTTCAGTTATTTAAATAAACCAGACTGATAGCACAGTGCAATGTCAATCAGGCATTAAATGAGTGGTAAGAATGATTGACTAAAAAAAAAATGCAGTTGACTGATGACTCCCTAAATATCTAATTGGAATTAAGAATAAAAGATTATTACTCTCATTGTGATTGATAAGGTGCTTATTTTGACACCACAAGATAAGAGAATCTGACGAGGGAGGAAAGTCATTAAAAGTAATATCTAATAACAAGATACCTTTATGACATACTGTCATCTTTACTCACTTTGTCGCAGAAGACCTTGATCTGGCAATAAGCTCTATGAATGGGTTTATTGCTACGATTATTATAACTGTATGTATCAATCTGAATCATCAAAGGAAGTCCTTTCACCCCTTTTTGGGAAGAGAAATCTGTACTCAGGCAATTCACGGTGATGAAAATCTGAGGAAGAGAGAAAGAAAGGAAAAAGTTGACAAGTCACCATTAAAAGGATGTTTTAAAAATGTGTAAGCCTTAACTTTGAAATAAAAATACTGAACAAATCTATAAGGAAAATTGAAGGATATTAGCATCCTCTCCTATAAAAACACATTAAGCATACAAAGCAATTTATAATTACAAGTTAAAAAATTGTTTTCAGGGCCTCCCTGGTGGCGCAGCAGGTTGAGTGCAGTGCTGTGAAGCTGTCCGCAGCCTCTGCAGCACCAGTTCGATTCCCGGCCGGCCAGGGAGAGTCCCACATGGCACGGCAGACCTCTCCTGTTGTGCCTGCTGCTCCCCTCAGCAGTGTACTATTTTATTCTGTGTTATTGTGTTTGTTCTGCTCCTTGCTCTGTCTCTGGTGAATTCTCTCACCCTCCCATGCCTCTGGCCTGTACCCCAGTGCTTGTATAAATAAATGAATCTTTTAAAAAAAAATGTTTTCATATCTAGTCTTAAAACAGTGAATTAAAATTACTTTCCTTAAAGTATACCAACAAAGTCTTGGTTTTCAAATGTGCACACATTTAGTAAAACACTATCTCTTCAACCTATTAAAGCCATCACTTCTACTAGTTGCATCAATTTTTCTAACCTATGACCTATGAAATATTTTTTTAAAAAAAGCAAACTAGAGAACACCTTCCCTTTTGTATTAAAGTATAGTTATTTGTGGGCCTCCCCGGTGGCGCAGCGGTTGAGCGCTGGGTTGCGAAGCTGCCCGCGGCCTCTGCGGCGCCGGTTCGATCCCCAGCTGCTCCCCGGCCACCAGAGGAGGGTCCCACATGGCGTGCAGACCTCTCCTGCCACCCGCTGCTCCCCTCAGCAGTGTACTTCGGTCCTTCTGCCTGTTCTGCTCCCCGCTCTGGCTCTGGTGAATTCTCTCACCCTCCCGCGCTTCTGACTGTACCCAGTGCTTGTATAAACAAACAAACAAACAAAATAAATAAATAAATAAAGCATGCCTCTATAAAAAAAAAAAAAGTATAGTTATTTATTTACAAGTCTGTCTTTCTTACTTGACCATTAAGTATGAAATTTACTATTTGTGTATTACTGGCACCTATTATGAGTACCTGAAGGAGAACAGATAGTCAATAAACATTTGATGAAGGACATCCCTGCAGAAAGCGAAGAGCCCTGCCATGAGCTGCAAATGGTTATTCAAAATTTTTATTTAACTGTAAGGATTGATCTAATTCTTTTCAAACTTTGTGCTTGCAGGCTTTATACAACTAGATATCTCATTTTTAATTCTATATCTACATAAAGATCATTTTTGGTTTATTTTCATGCCCCTTACTTGACAATAAACACATTAACAAGGCACCACCTCCGCAGCCAGATGACAGGTCTTCATGATTTGCTAACTACAATGACCTTGTGCATAGCGCTAGGTGCTCTCATTTTCCCAGCCACCATCTTCAAACAAGTGCCTCAAGATGACCTTACTTTGCATATATTCATTTCATTCACTTGTTCCTTTTATTTGTTTGCTCATTCATTCATTCTATAAATATCAACACAAGCCCACAGTGGGGCAAACACAACACTACTCATTGGGGATAAGAAGGCCAGATGCCAGCCTCATGGAGCTGACGGTCCATGGGGAAGACAGATGAGTAATCCAGTACTGACCAACATGGGGTGGTCAGGGTACCCAAAGGGTGCTGTGTGCAGGGCTGGACCCCACAGAACCAGGCACTGGACTTGGAGGACATAAGGAAATACAAACCCCTCACAGACACCATGGTAAGCTCAAGGATCCTACAAATACTTGTTCATTATTAACAGTAAAGACAAAGGGTAAAGATGCAAATGCCAAGTGACTTTTTCAGACTTGTAGGAAAGACTGTGTGCCTTGCCTGATTCTCCTATTGAACTTCAAGGGTAAAAGTAGAGGCTGTCTGCTGATTCTGGAGATGCCTTAACTTCAGAGAACACTTATTCATGTCACAGATATTTTTAAATACCTACCAGATCCCTAAGTCTGTGCTGTGCACTATTCCGGATGCACTAAGTATGGTCCCTGCAGTCACAGAAGCCAGAGGTTAGAAAGGGAGAGAGATGGTGTACTAAAGATTACAATAACCTGCCCAAATACTGATCTTCAGGCTAAAAAAAAAAAAAGCATGCTTTCCTTGCAATACTTGATTTCTATTCTTATTGTTATTACTGACGTGTCCGTTCTGGGACAGAATGTACAAATACAGCTTTATGTCAGCAAGTCAAATGATCACTCGGGGGAGCTATGTAGTTGTCTACTGTTTGGGCCATGCATTGCATGCAGAAATCTTCCTGCTAGTGACTATAATTCACAGGGACCTCAACCCAGACTGTTTTATTTCCCACTCCTTCACAAAGTCTGCCTAGTACTGCAGATGCCGGAAGAGGAGAGTGTTCTGATGTGTATTTCGTAGCTACTAGGATTCACAGCTGGCTCAGTGATTTATCCTTACGTCACTCACATGGGACATGAACTCAGATGGGCAGAAAGCATTAGTAATGGTGGCTTGTCTGCACCAAGTCTCACCTAAGAGAGCTCCGAGGCAAAACTAAGGGCTGACAGGACCTATTTGGATAGGATGAAGCCACCAAATAGCAGATGCATACCAGCAATACACTACAATAAATAGATTAAATCCTGTTGGGGGAATTATGACAAAGCCATTCAGTCAGTAAATAAGGTCTTTAAATGTCAAATGAGCTATAATACACGAGATCTTATGAAGAGACACTTAGATGAAATCTTACTAAAGAGAGGTCCTTACTGGGGCCTCCCCGGTGGTGCAGCGGTTGAGCGCTGGGTTGCAAAGCTGCCCGCAGCCTCTGCAGCGCCGGTTCAATTCCCGGCCACTGGGTGAGGGTCCCACATGGCGCGCAGACCTCTCCTGCCGCCCATTGCTCGCCTCAGCAGTGTACTTCATCAGTCTGCCTGCTCTGCTCTCCGCTCTGGCTCTGGTGAATTCACTCACCCTCCCGTGCTTCTGACTGTACCCAGTGCTTATATAAATAAATAAATAAATCTTTAAAAAAAAAAAAAAAAAGAAGTCCTTGCTAAAGAGAGGCCCTTAGTAGATGCTTCAGTGGGCTCTCTTTGAATCACTACCTCCTGATTCTATAAAAAGTAAACAACACAAGACTTTGCCTTTTTTTTTACCTGGCATTGGTAGCTCCCAGAGTTATTTTAATGGACATGAATTTTATGGGAGTGTTGGTACCCCTTTCCTCTTGCCTGACTCCATAGCGAAGCACAGTTTGAGGACCCGATGGTATCAATCATAGTCTCGCTGCACTCAAAATCCAAATAGTTGAACTTTAACTGGAGTCGGGGGGGGGGGGGGGGGAGTTGGAAAGGCCTGGAAGGATATTAACTAAAACCTTGACTTGGGAACTGATAAGCATTCATTTGTTTCATCTTGCAAACCCAACCATGTCCCAGCTCCATGAACAGCAAGCAAATGTGAGAGCAAATTTCTTATAAGTTTATCTACAAAGCACTGTTTGTAAATGTGTATTATAAAAACTTAGGGAAAAGGTATGCTTTCCCCCACCAAATGTTCATCCAAATGTCAAGCACAGAAAGTTCTTTCAGCTTCAGAAGGAACCCTGATTACATAAAGAGCAAATGCCATGAGGAATTGGCCTGTCACCCAAGAATTATGAATGTTACATATGTTCTTTTTATACTTTCAAAACTTCAGTAACTTTTTTCCCTAGAATTCTGACAGTGCACAATTTACTTTTTAGAAAAATACGCATTAAACTAGGTGTATCCAGGCAAATACCAGATACAATTTTGTTACTGGTTCAAAGATTGATTTTGTAAAAAGATGATTTCTAAATGTACTGAGACCTTTCCAGAAATAGAGGAGGCAGTCTCACAACGATTGACATCTTTTTTTTTTATTTATTTATTTAATAGAGGCATGTTTTATTATTTATTTATTTGTTTTTTTTTTTTTTTTTTTTTTGTTTATACAAGCACTGGGTACAGTCAGAAGCGCGGGAGGGTGAGAGAATTCACCAGAGCCAGAGCGGGGAGCAGAGCAGGCAGAAGGACCGAAGTACACTGCTGAGGGGAGCAGCGGGCGGCAGGAGAGGGCTGCGCGCCATGCGGGACCCTCCTCCGGTGGCCGGGGAGCAGCCGGGGATCGAACCGGCGCTGCAGAGGCTGCGGGCAGATTCGCAACCCAGCGCTCAACCGCTGCGCCACCAGGGAGGCCCACGATTGACATCTTTTTAACAGTCATTTTTTTAAACATATGAATTGCAATTCCTTTTTTATAGGAATGCACCATATGTGCAATTCTTACACAAAAAGGTTGGGTTTGCCCAGGTTGTGATACCTCTCAGGTGCATAGTCTGTATATAGTTTGTGTACAGAGACAGACTGATGGGCTTCAGGATTATTACATTAAATTGATTCTTAATGCTGAAGATTTTTTGAGAGCTGGCCATGAAAACAAATGGACCTATCTTTTGAAATGTGTTAGAATTAGAAAATCAGAACATCCACTGTTTGATGGAAAGTATTGAATTTCCTCTTTAAACTATCTTACTTTGTATTTTCAAGAAGATCATTCTGATTAAATACTAGAATGCTACTTATTTCCTAAGGTCAGAACTCTAAAGAGGTCTTTTTTTTCAAGACATTGTTCATGTATTAGTCTCCAAATTACAGGGGAAGAGGACTCATCAAGAAATCATCATCTTTACTCTAAAACACAAACAATTTATAAATACATAAGTATGCTCTTGCCAATTTCCCTACACTGTTTTATTCTGTGTTGTTGGAATTATGAAAAAACTTATAGATGGTTTTCTTACATTCCAACCATTTTTTCTGATTTTATATGCTTATATTAAGAGTGCAGACACACTAAAAGTAGGTAATATTAATACGTGAAATTTTAGCCCTGGATAGTCATTCATTTCCTTCATGCATCAATTCATCAAGT